AATTACAGGTAGAAATAGACTGAGATTCCTGAATGCAGTATTATTTATTCATTTGGTCAGCCTCAATCAAATTTACTACATACTGAATGAATCTGTGACGATATGCTATGTACTGACTCTGGAGCCAGGTGCTAGAGACTTCTCTTTCCAGGCTTTTCTTTCTCTGACATTTGTATCATTCACAGTTTGGGCTAGTAATTTAGAGGATATATCACTTATCCTTCAGAGTGGATTCTTTCTTTTCTGCTCAATTAAATGGTATTATAGAAAACAATTATTCTCACTTTTTCCCTCCCTTCCTTTGTGTTTCTGCGAACACAGAGCTGTTGATAATCAACTCTATGTAGCTACTGTATCTCCTGCTAGAGATGAAAAAGCATCCTATGTTGCTTGGGGGCACAGCACTGTAGTAAATCCATGGTAAGTTCAATAAAATTAAAAATATCACCTTTTTTTGGTTAAAAAAATATTTTAGTTGGAAGTCACACTTCAGTCCTACTTTTCCATCTACTGTTAAAAGTTCAAATTCTTAGTAAAAAGCACATGAGACTTGAGCCTACATTCTTAAGATCATAATTTGAAACAGCCAAACTAAAAACACAAGAAGTAAACTAGAACTAGTTTGAGTAGATATTCATTTTGGTAGTAAAGATACTACTTTAGTACTAGGATTCAGCAACTGCTGACCTTGTCACCTTGTCAGTCCATTATTTGCTATGCACGTGGTAATTCTCTGTGTAGAAGCAGACCGTCTTAAACAGCTTACACAGAACTATCTCATTTCCTCGAAGAACAACACTGCTTTGACATAAGAAAGAAAAAGAAGAATGTCTTCAGCTAGAGAAGAGAGATTCTGACTTGAGCAGAAGTCACGCAGGTGCTCAGGAGGTAAACGTGACCAAATCTTCAGGCAGTTGTTTTTCTTTCGGCTAAATCTACTGAGATAGTTTCTTTCCAGTCGTTTGCACACTAAGAGAAACTTTGTCCATGTCTTGAGCTTTTTACTTTTTGTGATGAAAGCAGTGACAGAACACTTGGGGGGAGACATGATCATGTTCAGAAGTTCATGCAGAGTATAAGTATACTACTAAAAGCCAGTAGGATCTTCAAAGGAGAAAGTGTTCATCTTTGCCAGTGTGGTTGTTCCTTTCCCTTTGAGGTATGTTGCATATTCAGAGGCAGTGGTTCTCACAGTGGCTTTTACCACAGTTCTTGATCTTTGAAAGACACTTGTGTTGAGTATGTATATATCACATATAAAAAATGCCATATATAAAGCCTGGAAGCCATTTCTATCATGCCAGAGTTATGGATGATGATGCTATTTTTAGGACAGCCCTGTTGTTACAGCTGTAGGCATCAAGGGTAGGAACTTTTCTTTGTAGAAACAGCAGCAACTGGACTGATGCCTTGAGACCAATGTGTTAATCCTGTGAACAAATGTGCTTAATTTTGCAGGGGTGAAGTCATAGCCAAAGCTGGAGCTGAGGAAACAGTTGTATACACAGATATTGGTAAGGGGAAAATGGTTTTGGTTTTTCCCCCACTTTTTTCCTCGAGTACAAGTCATGACACTAAGGAGAGACAGTTTTTGAAGTCTGTGGCTTTACACATGCAACTACAGATGATGCATCATTCCTCTGCCTTGTCCACCTTTGCTAGGTTAAGGCAAGAACCAGAAGCACCTGGCTATACTGTTCTGTATACAATACTCTATAGCTGTACTCTCCTAGTTCACTTCATTTGGAAGGTGGCACCTTAGGATAGAGCAAAGCTGAGGCTTCCTTCAGTCCTGGCTGCTCACTTGCAATGCCCTACCACCCCATTCTCCATCAAAGCTGCTATTTTCCCTGTCTTACCTCAGAGCAAGTCAGGAGCTTTCTTTTTTGGCTGCTGTTCTCTTAACTCTTTTCTTCTCCCTGCAGATCTAAAGAAACTTGCAGAAATACGTCAACAAATTCCTATTTTAAGCCAGAAGCGTTGTGATCTCTATGGTGTAGAGATGAAAAAGTGAAGCTGGGTGAAGAGGGAAGGTTCAGCTGTCACAATGGCTGTTGCCTTCATCTTTGGAAGGATTTCCTTAGTAGTTGCTCCATAATTTACTGCCAAATGTGCCAGCTAAGAAACCACCACATAACAAAAACTTAGTGGAATTCTAATATGATTGAAATATAACTTTTGTATCTCCTCTCATACTTAAGTATTTCACAGTATTTTACCAGCTAGGATAGAGATGAAATCAGTTCCACACAGCAGTGATTAACATTGATTTTTATTCATCGTAATGTTTTAGTTACGTTCTGAGGGCTTTTTTGTAGAACATAGAAATGGAAATGTTCTCTAAAACTCCCTCTCAAGTCAGCTTTGGTATTACGAATTTTTCAGTGAATTACCAGAAAATCTAGAAGCATGATTCTTCTCACTCTGTCCTTATTAGAAGTATATGTCTTAACCAAGGTCCTTGAATGCCCTACTTCTAACTTGAAAGGCTTAAAATTTAACACATAAGCAAGACAGGCCAAATTCTGCTCTGCACTGCTTGGGACACCAGAAGAAACTGCCAGACAGAGCTGCTCCTATGGAAGAATCTAATAGTTTTTGGTTCATGTGTTTTGTCTGGATCTGTGTATTAAATTCTCCTTATGGCAAATCCTGTTCATTGCTGAAGTGATATGGGTTACTGTGTTGTTATAATAATTCACACATTGCCACACCTTTTCTCTTCATACTGCTTCCTTAATAGAATGTCTGAGTGGGTTTTCATTCTGCTGCCTGGAAAAGGCTGAGGTGAGGCAGGTTGGAATACCTGTTGCACCAAGTCCTTCTTCCCAGTCTCGCAGAAGACTGCTCAATGTTTGAATGCAGTATTGCTACCATGGGCATCTCCCATCCACTGTAAAGAAAACACTCCTTACTGTGCTGCTTTTGCTGGAGACAAACTGATTGTGAAAGATGGCTTTAAAATACTGAAAACCAGCCAAGCATGTTTCACTCTTGGTTTTGGGGTTTTTTTTGAAGAAAGACATCATTTAATGTAAAAAGAATTTACAAATTATGCCTTTTAGTCCTTGGGATGAAAAAAAGAAGCAACTTACCAGCCTTCACTGATAAGCTTTTAGTTTCCCAGCAGCATAAAACAACCATAAGGCTAAAAGAGATTTCGAAATACAAAATGGAAGGGAGAGAAGGTTTTGTCCTGCTCTAGCTAACCACATTTCCCCCCAAACCATCTTACCTTTTATTCATGTTCAGCAATCCTACTCTTCCCAGTTTTTTGTTTGGTGGGGTTTTTTGTTTGTTTGTTTTTTAAATTCTGGATTCTCTGCAATGAACTCAGGTGTGTTATAAACAAACACTCAGCCAAGCCCTGACACATCCTTCTCCTCAAAAGCTAGATCCCACCATTCCACTCGGTGGCATTCTTTATCAGCAGGTATTTTTACTCTGTATTTTTCACTGCATTTTGGTGTACATACTGTACTGGAATTTTAAGAAACAAGCCACAGAGCACAAGGTGAAATGAAGGTTTATTTGTTGAAAAATAAATATTAAAAAAATTAACAATTTACCATTTGAGATGACTCTACTGCATTAGATTAGTGCTTCATACTCAACAACCCATATCTGTGATGGCCATTGCTAGGCTCCAACTTTTAAATTATAACTATTTTATCTCTTTCCCTCCCCTCTCACTACTAGTTCAACACACAGGAGTAAATAAAATCTACCTTTGGAGGATTATAGTGCAGGGTTCTCATGGGCTGATCACTTAAATCTGAGAAATGCAAAGTGCAGTTTGCAACAGATAACAGAATCTGTGGTCTGAACGCTCTTCCCCTGGAATCCCAAATGGAGAGGATGAATGAAAATCTATTACAAGCTACTTTGGTCAACTCAGCTGAAGAGCTGACATGAGCTCAGTTCTTCTATCAGGACAAGTTCTAAGCACCTAATTTTAGTAGGGTATTTAGTAGGGTCTCAGTGCACTGCACTCAGAAGTGATACAAATGGGACTGTGAATTTGTGAGGCTTCCACTGAAAAAAAATATAGTCAGTCCTCAGCCATAGTACTTGAAGCAGACAATACTCAACCTTTGTGTTGTAGAAAACAGGCACTTTTAAGTATCCATACAACATGTGTGCACCACTATTCTTTAAGTACAGGAAAATAATCAGTAACAACCCTGAAACAGTTCCAGAATTTCAACCTGAAAGAATTTAAATTATTTTAAAAGAAATGGCAGAAAATTGGGCAGTGTTAGGATTGCTGCGCTGGTTAAAGCTGCATCTAAGCTGCTCTTGATAGTTGCAGAGTAAGTTACAGTACAGCTCTTCGGTGTATGTTAGTTCCCTCTTCCCTTTCCATTTGCAGTTAGATCCTAATAATTCAAGTCCCAGCTTAGAATCATGGAATATGCTGAATTGGAAGGGGCCCATCAGGATCAGAGTCCAACTCCTGGCCCTGTGCAGGACATCCCAAGAATCACACCGTGTGCCTGAGAGCGTTGTCCCTGTGAACAACAGGGACCATACATGATGAGAATCAAGTTGCTAAACAACTGTATGTAGAAGCAACTTCCCAGAGTATCCCTCTAGGATACATGGGCTTTATCCAAGCCTTCATTACTAGCTTCCTACATAATTTAAACTTTTTAAATAGCAGTAATACTTGTCTCACTTCAAAGTTCACATGGACACCTGGCTTAAAATAAAACCTCAACTGTATCGGCCATTTACAGAAAGTCCCTGCATACACAGGGATGCACCTGCATACACAGTAGGGTCTCAGCTACTCAGATTCCCAACCTTCCTGGTTCAACTTCCTTTCCCCTGTGATCTTCAGCTCTCAAGATCATACCTCTGTGGGCGATGGAAGCAAGCAGAGATCGGATTTGTTGATTCCAGATCTCGTCCTCATTCTTTCTTAAAGGTTGAAGTGAGCAAAGATGATAAGGAGTCAGCCAATTGTAGACTTAGAACATAAGCACAGAGCTCACCACTGCAGAGAACACCTTTATCAAAATCTTTTCTTATACATGTCAGAGAGATACTTGAAGGTAGTATTTATTTTTTCAGTTTACAGGTGATATGTCATTTACAAAAAAATTACAGACAATGCATCCTTTCAGTGCAGTTTCAAACTAGTTGAAGAACAGGCAAAAGTCTGTGATGATTCGGAATGCTAGTAATTGACAGCACATGCTTTTGTCCCTTAATTGATTGGGTGGGGTAAGGAATGGGGTGCAGATGGGGTGATGAGGAGAAAATGCCAATGTAAATAAGGCCATGCGAATAAAAACTCCTTGGAGAACAGGACTCCTCAGTCTGTCATATTTTTGTTCTCAGCTAATTAACGCAGATTGGACGTTGGAGAAGACATTTGACACTTGTTACGTTCAGTGCCCCTAGAAGCTGCCAGTACCTTCCCATATCTTCAATTCTACACCAGTGCTATGATTTCAGATCACCTAATGAGCTACTAAAATAATGATTAAATCTTTATTTCTACTCTCCACCATTTGAATAATCAACTGTAGTTGCTGGGAGAAAGGAAGGTCAAGTTGAAAATGCAAGCTGCTGCTGTATGGTGGCACAACTACAGACCAAGACAGTTTGACTACAGCATCATTCATTTCTTTAAAAGGTTACATACATTAGACAATTCACCACGAACAAATCTATGATTTCAGGATGGAAAGAAGCCCAAATTAGTGTGTCATCATAAATTAAGTTACATCATTTGCATGAGGTTTGTCCAGCCACATCAGTCTAGGGAAAGGCAAGATGACTGACTTCCACACCAGAAAGGTCAACCCAAAGCAAGAGGGCCCTCTGTGAAGTTCCTAATGAGAGGAAAACTATTTCATAATTTGCCTATCTGCTTTTTGCAGCACAATTGCTTCCCTTCTACAGTATTTGTAATCTCGGACAAGACAGGATCTACAGAACAAGCAAATGAGTGTAGATTGCAAATCCACTATTGGAAGTTTGAGCCTATGCTTTGTTCCTTATCTTACTTAATCCTACCAAGGGGCTCTTAAAAGGAGATCATAACCCAGCAGCCTCTAGAAACCGACGATAATTTAGTCTATCAGCTGCTACATTTATAAAAAAGCATCAGAGATTACAAAGATTATATGCAAGCATGACCTTACCTTTTGGAGCTTGACTCCCAGCAGTGCTTTCTGTTCTTGAAAGTCCCTCTGAACCCTCCAGAACAATTTCCCATGACATTCAAGTAAGGACTGCTGTACAGGAATACATTCTTTCTTCCAGTAAAGTCTACACTGAGGCAGTGTTACCTGACCTCCTTCCCCAGCCAACCTTTTTCCTCACTCTCCTATGTAGTACTCTAGGGCTTTCTGGGGTGAGAATAAGGACTATCAAATTAATTCCCTAATAGCTGCCACAGGACTATTTCTAAGTAAGTTATGCAGAAAGTGGAAGGGGATTTAAGGGAAGATTGTACATGCTTGCATATATTTACAGGTATCCTCTCCACATCTACTGACTTTAAAAACCCCTCTATTATTAAAGTTTGAAAATTAATTTTTGCAAAATTAAAATCAACCCTCAAGGATTAACTGGATATAAAAAAGAAACCTATTTTACAGCACTGACTAGTATTACCTTTAAAATCAACAGGAAAAAAACCCACATGCTGTGATATTATTTGATAAAGCAAAAATCGCCCACAACATAATCACCCAAAATGAACCAGTGTGAAGTTTTTATTTGCATGGCCAAAATATGTGCCTTTGGTTCCCCTGCAACTTTATTTCCCTTAACACGCTCTAAGGTTTTTGCTGCAGAAGGAACAAGATGCAGCACTGCATACTTCCTTGAACAACCACTCCCACAACACCTAAACATTTAACAGATGTAGCAAATGACAACACCACGAACGGGAATAAACTAAGTTCCACCATTCAGCATGGTCTGCAACAGCATCTTTAGGGCTGGCTGAAGTCGGCAACTTCACTTTGCAAGGTCATTTCCTCCTTGTTTCTTTACAGTGTTGGTGGTTTCAATCCATACTTCTTTGCAACTTCCGTCTGGGCATAGGCAGCATCACAGAGTGAGTAGAGGTGGGCCATCTCCATTTCTGATTTGGCCAGGTTGATAGCTTTGTTGAACATTTCAATGGCTTTATCCAGATTACCTCTGAAATAAACAAAAATTTAGTTAAGACTGTAAAAGCAATCTTGTCATCTCTAAAACATCTTTTTTCTTTCAGGACTTACACGCTCCCCCATTACTAACTTAAAAGGACTGGGAGGAACCACCACAAGAACTTATGGTGATGCTGAGTAAACTCAGAAGTTGTTACCAAGCCTAAGTAACTAGGACAGCTGTTAAACAGCCTTCCTCTTGAGAGCCCCCATGAGTGGCAGTGCAGGATAAAATGTTCTCCACAGGACACCAAGTTCACTGCAAAGATAATTCTGGGCAACTGAATGAAGTCTCATGTCCCGTGAAAGGACTTAGTATACAAAAGAGGAAAACTTGCACAGACAGAAGCACATTATTTAAATAATAAATGCTTGCAAAATTTCTCATGGCATTAGCTTAATTGCCTGTCCTTTAGAGGACTAGACATATTAAAAAGGGACTCAGCTGTACTGTCAGCTAGACCCTAAACCTTTGCACAGTTGCAATACAATGTTACAGAGCAGGGCATTCCTCTTTCCCCCAAGAACTGTGAACTGGAGCTCTGTGGGCTGCAGGAGAAAAACAGCACAGGATGCAAAGTACAGACAATCTAGTGTTCAAGGACAACATGAGATACACACAAGACCAAGTAATGATTAAGGAAGTCCCTTAAAATACAGAAGGGATGTATTTAAAAATACACGGACTCATCTGCATGTTGTCCATTAAGTATGACATTGGTGATGAGAAGTTGTCCAATCATAAATCACAGTTATACCACAGAGAATGGAGGGCTTTACCTAAGAGTTACAGAACAGAAATCATGACCTTGGGTAAGAGCTGGCCTTACAGGACACCAGGGAGAAGATCTTAAGACCTAGGATCCATGAGGAAATTTAAAGAACTACTGTAACTTCAGAAGTAACTAAGAACTCTTAACACTGCCATTCAGCATTACCTTTGCACTTCAATCGTTCCCATGGTCTCATATGCAAAATCACATTTGTTATCAATCTCAATGGCCTTGCTTATGAGTTCTAATCCTTTGTCTAAATCTTGCTTCCACTGAAGCTGAAGTAAACTACAAGAGAAAGAAAATTTCAAACTGACTTCACATACTCCTCCCAAAACCCTCGTCATGGTAAGCAAAACCATCCCAAATGTATAATGTATTTAATTTCTAATGCAGATAACACAGTGACTTAGCAACTTCACGACTTTTTAAAACACCTATGTGAAAGTCACTTTCAATAAGCCACTTTACTGCTTTAATGACGCTAAAGGAAGGCAAATTTTTCCCAAGAGAAACATGTTATTTGGTACATGTTGTTTTATGAAAAAAGAAACTTCAACACAAAGCTGAAACTAATAGGGTTAAAGGAAAAGTCATATATACTCAATTAGCAATGAACACTGATGAAACTTCCCTGAAACTTACTTGCAGCTTTGTCAAGACAAAATATAGAAATACATTTAAGAGCACAAAGATGTTTTCACAAAGTTATTTTTCCTGGATAACTTCTAAGCATAAACATTCAATTCAAGTTGATTCATCTAAATATGCCAACTGCTCTCAACCAAAAGGACTGTAAACTCAATACATACCCTTTATGAACATATGTAGTGGCATTGTCTGGCTCAAGGTCAATGCATTTATCATACATTTCATCAGCCTTGCCAAACTGCTGTTGATCAGTTAGTGCCTGAATCAAAAGAGAAACCTGTTTGTCAATAAGCAACCAAAGCGTGCACTCTGCACTCGGCTAATTCTAATTAAAACTGTATTGACAATGTGAGATTGGATGTAGTTCATTTACAGTAGAGCAGGCCAGGCACATTAGTTACCAGAGCTAAGTTTCAAAATTGAGGATTTTGGAAAGCTTCTGTGCTTTAAGTGCACAAATTACTGACCACACTGTCACCTGTAATGGGAGATCCACAAACAACATACTGTGTGCTGTAAATAAAAACCATTCTAAAAGTCTGTACTTGCAAGCTTCAACTCTTCCTTTTTCACATATATTTCTTTCAGAAGGAAATGCATGTATATTGCCAACCTACTTAAAATCAGAATGTCATGCTTCCTACTAAAACCAGCAGTACGTTCTTAGAAAAGAAACTACAGTCTCTGTTACAAGTGTATTCAGAACAGCTGTTCTAAACCACTACATGCCACTGATAGCAGAACAAAAATGTTAGCCTAGTTCCACACATCTGACTCTCAAATTACCCAGAGGATCCCTAACATTCATCAGCTGAGATGCCTCACACATGCAGGAAGGAGAGAATCATGCAGGAATAACCCCTGTCTCCTAACAACCACCCTCAACTCTCATTATTTATATCCTGCTCCACCAGTTCCCCCTGTACCTCCTCTGCACCAGAACACTCATAACCATAAATGCAAGTAGCTTATTCCAGGCAGCATCTCTTATCTCAGAACTTAGTGTCCAAAATCTTCATCTGTTATTTGAAGAAATATTATATCCAAGATAAAAAATACAAGACAAAGCAGCATTTTCTTTAAGAGAGAGAAAAATATACCTGAGCATAGAGTGCATAGCCCTCAGCACATCTTGGAAATTTTTTAATGACGTCTTCAAAGCCCTTCATGGCTGCTTGCACAGTCAAAGCATTACTTCCTGTATAAGCCTGGCGATACTATTCCAAAGAAAAAAAAAGAAAAGAAAAATTATGCCATCACCAGACTAAAAAAATGCTCATCACACCTCTACCCACCTCCCCAAGAGTTGCTTGCATCATAATAATTCAGTTATTTTACATAAGCTGAGAGAACTGAGATTGTTCAGCCTGGAGAAGAACTGTGGCCTTCACATACCTGAAGGGAGCCATGATAAAGATGGAGAGAGATTTTTTACAAGAGTATGTAAAAACGATTTTTTTTATAAGAACATGTAAACAGAACAAGGGGGAATGGATTCAAACTGAAAGACAGCAGGTTTAGACTGGATATTAGGAAAAAATTCTTTATTGTAAAGGTGGTGAGATACTGGAACAGTGCCCAGGGAAGTTCTGGATGCCTCATCCATGGCAGTGTTCAAGGTCAGGTTGCGTGGGACTCTGAGCAACCTGGTCTAGTGGAAGATGTTCCTGTTCATGACAGGCGAGTTGGAACAAGATGATTTTTGAGATCCTTTCCCACCCAGGCCGTTGTATGACTTTGTGCTAAGTTCCACAAGCTGAAAAGCCTGTACATCCTAACAAATCTGGTTTTGGGAACCTACCACATGTCCAAGTGTCTGGACTTGGAGAAGAAAATGAGTGAAAGAAGGAACTCATAAGGCCTAATAATTGTGATAGCTTCTCTCTATTTCAAATGCTTAGAAATTCCAAACTTGGCATTCCTCTTTGTTCACACCATGCAAAGCTGTCCTGATGAGATTCTTGCAAACTGAGTCACACTAGCTTGAAATAGTTTGTTTCCAATTTCTTGATAATGACCATTTTCCACAATAGTAAAGCTTTATTGAAATCAATTTTGTGCTCCAATTAGAATCAAGATTTTTGTTCCTTTCACACAGAACAGAAAAAAATGTTCCACTGTTTGAAAAATGAGTGTTTCAGAAGGAAAGCAGCAAACCCATACTTCAACTGAAGAAATTGCTGCATTGCTCCTTTACCTTATTATTAAAAGACAGAGATGTATGTTGCCCTACTTTCCTGTTAAATTGGAATAAACCAGAGAAAGAGAGTGTTTTCCAGAACTCTTTAAAGCAAAAGCACCCAGACAAACCCCAGCACGTTACCTACCAGAGCGAAACATTTCTGTGCTTGCGCCAAGGCAGAATTGGGTCGCAATCGGATACATTCATCGAAGTCTTCCACAGCCTCCTCAATTTGGTCAAGCAGGATTTTCAGCTAGCCAGAATGAAAAAAAATCCTATTTCTCTATTTCATCTGTGCTTCAGACACTTACATGATAATTCAATCAGCATCAGTTACTCATATCCTCTCCAGCTCAGTTGCAGAACTGTCTAGAAACCTACAAAACCCATAACTAAATATCACCGTCATAATGTATTATCAAAGCCACCAGTGAAACTTTAGCTACCTACACAAGCAGGAAATGACCGTGTGTAGGAATAGAGAATGCCTGCATTTTAGACTGTTGCTGTTATTGTGTCAGCATTATGACCAGCCTCCAAAATTATGCCATATTTTCTCAAGTTGTTTTGCCTCTCTGTAGCTAGTATCTGTGGACTATTTGGACACTGAAACTTTTCAGCTCGTTTTTCAACTTATTTTGTTGGCGTTTCTTTGATTTTGTTTTGACATTCTTACTCCTCCACAGGAGCAGAGTTCACTCCATCATTCTCTTACTTCACTGTGAAGCAACTGTAAAACACAGATTTTCAATCTGCAGAAAACTTTCATTCCCTTCAGTCAACACACAGCACCGTTTTCATTTCTGAGAACTAAAGAGGTCTAACAAATTAGTGGAGAAAAACCCTTGATCCAGGGAAGTCTTCCTTACAAATACAACTTCCTTGCAAATAGCCTGTTTGCATTTGCTAGTGTTCCTTTTTTACTTTCAGCACCATTCATCTCACAGGTCTGTGGCAGCAGGCAGAAGCCTGCTAGAAATTAGTCTAGGACACAGCAGTGTCACAAGGCAGAGAGGGATGAGCTGAACAGATCCAAGTCCAGGGCACAGGGCTGCAGGTGTTATCAGGGACACGTTTCCTCTGCTGGAACAAAGCTCCCTGCTTTGCAGATGCTGTTCTGCCATCCAGGCCCCTTCACAGAACAGCATTCATCTGCTGTAAATGTATATAAACGCTAGTACTTGTAAGTCTCAGTTCATACTGATAGAGGGCTTTCCTATAGCTATAGAAATAAACCGCTTCTGCCTGACCTGAACCTCCAAAACAGACTGTGTGTTTATCCCACAAAAATTCCACAATCCCAGAAGTATATCCCACAAAAGTTCCCAATTAGGAGTTCATGGTTTTCTGCCACAAACAGTATAAAGTGTCTCCAATGACACCGTTTTTCTTTTAGTATATACTGAAACAGCCAAGTGTTGGGACCAAATCTTGAAGGTTTCTTACTTGTCCTCGGTGGTGGTAAACATCAGCATTCTGAGGATCAATGTCAGCAGCCATGTTGAAGTCCTGAGTGGACAGCACTGGCTGCTGCTGCTGCATATACATACTGCCCCGTTTGATCAGAGCGTTGGCTCGCAGCTGCAAAACATGGGCAGGGAAACATCAGCCACCCTAGTGTTTCTCCACATTTAAGGCTTCATTACAATCACAGTAAATTTTTCATTTGACTAGTTTCTCCCACTGACAGATTTCAATTATTCTAAGCAGGAATAAATTTCATATTGACCCTAAATGAATGAGCTCCCTTACTTAATTTCAAAAATGTCAGCCTACGCTTCCATCTCAGTGGATTTCCAAGCCTCCCAAAATCCTTCTCAATTCCTATGTTTAGAAATACATCAATGTTTTTTGAAGCAGCTGAATATGGAAATGCAACTAAGGTTTTACAGTTACCCAGAGTGGATAAGCCTCCAATTCATTCAACTTCCCTCATTCTTTAGTTTGTACTTCTTATCACCTTTAGTTTGCACTACTCAGTAAAGCTGTCTCAAAAATCAACAAGCCATTGAAAAAAAAAATGTCTGTAACAGAACAGTAAATAAACCATTAATATATCTGAAAATTTGGACAAACAACTTCTTGAAGTATATTGCAAGTTTATCATCTAACTTTTCAATCCCAACTACAATCGAGCTGTGACAGTCCTACCTTCACGTTTGCATCTTCCATGCTGATGACCTGATCTAGGTCTGGTTTGGCAGCACTTGCATTGCCAATAAGTAAGTAGAAAGTAGCTCGTAGGAGCAAAGCTTCTGCCATGTATCTTCCCTTTGCTTCAATTTCTTTTGTGCTTTCACTGATAATTTTGTCATAGTTCTCTTCTTCCATATATTGTTTTGCTCTCAAATAGCCAGAGCTGTAAATGATGTAAAAACAGTTGTATATATACATGCATTCACTGAACACTGCAATTTCCATTCAGATGTTTTCATCAAATCATTACAAATACTAACTTGTGCTATATTTTTACAACACCAGCATAGCTCCATTGGAACATCCATTCCTGGATGGTGCCATCATAGATGGAAAACAATCTGCACAAAAAACTGGCCAAATTACATTGGAAATAAAGAAGAAAAATGTTTTAAAGATTTTGAATGTGAGCTTCATTTGTCTCTTGAGGGTTTTTTTTCACAAGAAGAAGAGCAATAATCTCTGTTTTAAAGCAAGAAGGTAAAATTAATGGACAGGAAAGTGAAATATTAAACCTAGCAATGTACAGCTCCTATATGGAAGAAATTATTTAATATAAAAAATTACAGCACTGCCTTGTTCTCAGCGGTATCCTGGATTCAATGAATCTGCTTGTAGATCAGGACATTCTCTCTTACTTTAAAAAACAAAATTATAATGCTGTTTGCAATGGTTTCTAAACTGGCAGCACTGCTATCTTCCAAAAAATAATCTGGAAATTAGCACAGTAAATTAAAGAACCATTTATGTGGTGCTCAGGCTCCACTAAAAGAATACATAACAAAACCACAAAACCAAGTTTTTCTATGCCAGAACAAACTTTTCATTTCTGGGCAATTTGATTCCAGAAAGTAAAACACCCTTTCAGCCTTCATTGTTGTTAATACCTGTTTTCATTTAAAAATCCCCTTTTCCTAGCTCATATTCTCCCTGCCAGTCCAAAGACTAACTTGCTCTCTTCCTTGGAAATGCTCCTTCAGTATAAAATATTCCTTTCCCCCAAAGCATCATTCAGCCCTCTCCAGTTCTCCCAAGATTTACTGTGATACTGTAGTAAATATTCAGCACTTTTTCCCCAGTCTCATTGTCCTTCCTCTGCTTAGTGCAAGCTTGGAACTAGCCAGTCAGATTTCACTAAGGTTTCACTTGCAATACTGATACAATTTATATCAAAGAAATCTCCATGCCAAGTACTACTACACAAACAGCAGCATGTTACACTGAGCAGAATGTCCAAATCACTGAAAACTTAATTCCAGTACCAAACAATTCCTAACTATACTGTACACTCACTTTTCTTTTACTTCAGAAGCCTCTCCCTCCTTGTCCTTATCTTCATCTGATTTCTCACCCTTAAGCAAAGGTTGGGAAATTATATCATCTGTGAAAGAACTGAAGTAGGATTTAATGAACTGTGGTGAGGGCATCAGAGGCTCCCGATTCTGAAACAGAGAAAGGTAATTCCAAGTCATTAGGTGGTAAGATCAGATGGTACAAATTAAAATGGATAGCAAACATGATTATTAAAAAGAAAAACCTGATGAAAGAACCAATGTATGACTTTCACTATCTCATCTGATAGCCTGGTATTTTGATTTGCCATTTTGATGTTTAGGGATTCTTTAAGCTTCTGATCACAATGCAATATTCATCACCAGTGAAAACAAAGTGATGATATGCGGGGGGGAGGAAGATTGTATCTCTCCACATATGTGGCTAGAAATAAGAGTCTTTGGGTAGATGTACTAAAGCATTGGGTGTGCACACAAAGTGGGTGAAAAATCCAAGCTGGTGATTTAAGCATGAGCCTGAATTCAAGTAGATTCTGAAAGGCAGTCTTCTCTTTTCTCCAACTTGTCTAAGAGAAGCTGCTGTCATTGTTACAATGGAGACTAATGAGTCAATACCCTAGTTGTGTGTGGAACTTGGCCCAGATACCACATTTTTACTTAAAGTCCCAGAAGTAACACCTCTTGGGTAATGAATCTTTTCTACAGCCAAAAAATATCTCCTGTTTAAAATAAACTGCACACAAGAATTACAATTCAATCTCTCCTGTAGGAAAACACTGAATGCACTCTTCTGAAGCACACCTATCTATATCCACCTCACTCTTAACATTATTTGTTGTTACCTCTACACTACACATTTATGTGAATTTCTGTAGGAAAGAAATCCAGCATCTCAAAATCAACACAGGATTTCAGTACTTGAACCACCATCAAAACACAAGCAAGAATAATAACAACAACCAAGAATGTGTTAGTATCTGTCCCAAACGTTTTGTAAACCTACAGCCACTTAAAATGATTGCTCCTGGCTACCCCTATGCTTCCACAGCTCTCCCTTCTGCAGTTTCCAAACATTCAGGCATAGATATGTGTTCCAACACACCCAGTTTCCATGAAGTTGCAGTTCAGAAAAGCCCTGTGTAGAGCAGCACACCAACTTAGAGCGTCTCCTGAATGTCATAACAAATTTCATTATTAAAGGGAAACAACTGCTAGAAGTAGATCTCTCTTCCTTGATTAGGTTCCAAAAACTTTGGAGAGGTCCCAAAGGAAAACAACATTGGTACAATTGCAGCTTTGTAGAAACCAGTTTGTGTCACTTCTTACATTTGAGCAGATGGAGACAGTGACTTGTTTACAACAACTAACAGAGTGCCAACAACCGACTTTTCAACAACTGGTCAGGTGAAATAACAATTAGTCAGCAGTATCACAAGTCCTACCTTGTACTTCTCTTTGGCCTTTTCTTTTCCAAGGAGTTTAAGAACTTTATCAGCTAATAGCATACTTTGCTGGTTTTGGAAGGCTTCTAAAATGCAGACTGCAGTGACATCTAGGAAACAACATACAAAAGTGAGATTAAAGGAATTCTGATAGTCACTGAAGTACACTATAAAATGTGCCATTGAGTACAATGAAGCACTGCCAAACTAACAGAAGTCCTGTTCTCAGGCAAAAGCCTCTGTTTCCAGTTTGCTGTATTTACTGTACTTTTCAAGACACAAATTTGTATCCAAAATGATCTTCCTGGGATAAAAGGACTTCATGACAGTGAATGAAAAGAAATTACATTTATTTTTCTGTTCATGTTTTACCTAGAGATGAGCACACTTAAATCAACAGTGAAAATGTATACCTCTATTGGAGGCTTTCACCATTTTGAAACTTTGAGAAGAGTAATTATGTTCATATTGAAAGTGCCAACACAGCTTCTCTTCTGGACTGGTCTTTATTTTCTACTTCAAAAATTCACATTCAATCCCATCACATCTTACTTACTCCTCAGTTTAAGAAATTTGCCTAAATTCTATTTCAAATTTTTCTGCTCACCTCCGTGACTTTGGAAGGAGCAAGGAGAAATACCTTGCTGGCCTATTTAAAGAGCCAGCCTCTATCACATGGCTTTTATTCTCACAGAGAAATCTCTGCAAATGTTAACCCACTGCTGCTCAAGTGAAGCTTCCCAGTGTGAAATGCACTCTTACCACACAGTTTCTCTGGATCCTCCACTTAATGCAATGCTACCAGGAGTTTTCCCTGTTTTGCTTTCATTTAAAAATTAGTGAAGATGAACAGAGCCTAGACTTGAAATTCAAGCAGTGTATTGTCTGAATATGCTTGAAAAGTAAATGCCTTGCCCTGGAGTTTTAGCATATTTCTCCAATTCTACACTGCTAGAGGGACTACTAAGCCATCACTTATAGAGAAACTCCCTGCACCTCTGGCATGTTCAGGAAGCAGAGTCCCTGGGAAAATATGGTATCTCCAGCAAGAATGTGTTATACAAACCCAGCAGACACACTCTGACCAAAGACTTCAGGCTTGCTGCACTTCAGGCTTGGCTGCAGCAGCAACATCTTCCCAAATTATACTGCCAGGGATCACTGGAGGAGTTTTCTGCTGGTAGTGACTGGGGTTTTGAGGTTTATTTGGTTTTGCTTTCCTCCACTACATGGGCATGCCCTACTTCCTGGAGTTTTACTGGCCATATGTGTTTGGCGGGTAAAAGCAGGGTTATAGAAAAACAGTGTAGTTAAAAAAAAAGGCAAGAAAGCTTCAGATCTGAAAAAACTGCAAGCAAAAAAACAAATAGAAATCAAGGCTGAAAATAACTGTCACTAACATTACTGCTATTAACACTAAAAAGAAGTTATATTTAAAACTGTCCTACTGTCACAGAGACATTGATCTTTCTTGGGGCTTTTATCACCTGGCAGCTACATAAGGCTTAGATTTTTATTACAGCACTCTGGAAGTGCAGCTGATACACACTGGTTGCAAAGGAGTGCACTAAATAAACAAAGTTGTCCTTTTCTAGTCATTATGGTCTTAAAGGTTATAAAGGCATCCTGCCAGCAGATAAACAGATAAAATTTCCACATCTAATTTACATTCTAATTTGGCAGACCTAATTCTTAGCTGTTACACGTAATGAAACTAATTTAACAGTTAGATTTACCAGCCAAAGCACTGCCTTATTTTCTGTCCTTCTTTGATAATGAGCACAGCTGAAAATTTCTTTTGTCTTTTAACCTAAAATCAGTAGGAATTATTTCACTTGATTAAATTTATATGGGTAATTTCAAGCAGTAGCTTGTAGCTCAAAAGTGCCGTGTCAAAATACATCTGACCTGTAGTTTTTAATTTCCATGGCTTCTCAGTGACATCTTCCTGACAGTTCAAAACATATTCTGTTTAGGAATAGCATTGGATGAATTTGACAAGTAATTTCTTCCAAATACAAAGTATTAATATTAAAAGAAAAATTAAATCTGTTCCAGTCTTCATAAGCTATGCACCAGAAAAAAATGCTACGGAAGCTGTTTTCCCTCTAACACCTGTCCAACGCATTTAAATAACTGCAATATTTTTATTTCTGACCACGTATCTCAACCTGCAAAAATGCCCTCATTTCTGTAATAGTATAATTTCTCTAAAACAAACAGAGAAAAGGCTAGTCTCTTTACTGCATGGAAAGAGAACAACTGTTGTACTGGTTATCCACTCATTATGTTAGATGAATTATATTCTAAAGTGAAGGAGTTTCCTGGAAAAAGAATACCTTGAGTTGCTACAGTAACATCAATTTCTCAGCAGTCATTTCAGATGTAAGCAAATGAGAGCTTGAGAAATGTGAATAGGTCTGACAAGAGAAGAATAAGTATTTGCAGAAGCTATGAATGGTTTTAAATACATAATTTTGTATTACTGTAGCTACAGAAGTCAAAACAAAACATTTCCAGAAGGTGCCATCTCCAAAGCTCTCCAAAGCAGCAGAGCTAATTCCACTTTTAAGTATACACAGCATGAGCCACTCACCTTCTAAACATTCCTTCTTATTGTCCAGCTTCTCATGGGCCTTCGCGCGTCTGAAGAGAGCTTTGACATATTTAGGGTTAAGCTCAACAGCCTTTGTACAATCTTGTGCCACTTCTGTCCATTTTTGCTGTGAGCAGAAAAACAACACAGTGAGAGGGGCCCCCCTCAGCTCCCAGGGCTGGCTTCCCACAGCCAGCTCCGGGCTGGTGTGCACCCAGTGGCTGCTGCGGCTCCCAGGGCTCTGCTTCTCCCTGCTTGCCTCTGCTTCTGCAAGTGCCCAGGGAGAAACTGCCCGGGCACCACTGCAAACAACCTGCACCAGAAAAGCCACACAACAGAAACACAATTCCTACAAAATATTACACCAGGCACTGCACAAATCCCATGGAAGAACATAATGAGTTGATGCAAAGATAGGTAACGTTGGGACTGAAAGACTGGTGTAGAACAACTAGAAGAAAAGAGATGGAAATATAATGGCAGCAAACAAGTTTACCAAAGTGCTAAAACATTTTTTTTAACAAAATTTATTTCAATTTATCAAAACAGGCTTTTCTAATAGAGGATTCACACACAGTTGGGATTCATTATGGCATGAATTTGTGTTAGACAAGAACTAAATCTAACACCAGATTTATGTAAGCACAGTCTCTTACTTGATACTTCAGACTGTACAAAGCCAGCTTTTCCACTCCTTTATACAGCTCACCAACTCGACCTCATAAGCAAATCCATCATACCATAATAAGCAACACTGGCTGACTTCTAAAATAACACCACGTATACTCAGCTGTCGAGTAAATGTAACTTCCCTACATGCAAACTTTAAGTCTTGGCCTTTACTAGGATTTCAATGATTTTTTTCTTTAAATGTTGAAGTAGCATCCTTCCAAAATATTTGACCTTTCACCTTTCTTTCATGGTTAAACACTCAAGTAGAGAGAAGCAAAATTAACTTATATACAAGAAAACTGTTCCGAAAATAAGAAATTAAAACTTTGTCTCGGAAGAACAGGATGCATAAGTAAAATAGATTGAGTGTAGGTAACCGAAAATAATTTTCTTTATATGTAGAGAAGTATGATGACCTGAAAAAACCTTCAACATCTTGTTATGAGAGCAATAGATGTTATCACTTTGGATCTTTCAGTGGATGAAAATGACAAAATACAAAATTGATAATGCTATTTTTTTACAAAAAATGCATAATTATCTGTAATTTCTTACCAGTTGTTCATAGGCAGCAGCTCTGTTTTGATAGAAGGTAGAAAGATCAAGGTTTTTCTCAGGAGGACACAGGCTGATAGCCTCAGTATAACACTGAATAGCTAGCTCATATTTTCCTGCTTTAAAGTATTTGTTTCCTTTGTTCTTGGCTGCTTGGGCTCTACCAAGAGGACTCTGAAAAAGAAAGTGAGAGGTCAGTTCAAATTAAAAAGGCATCACAGCACAAAAGCTATGCACTTTAGGGCTCATCTTCAAAGATATAAAAATGGACCTGAGTTGTAAACTGTAGCCCAGATTTCTAAAAACTCTCACTGATTTCAATTCCTGGAAACATACAAGAATTTTCTTTTGCAAGTGTATGAGATAGGAGACAACCTTCTCACAAAATTCACTACAATGGTCATAAACTATGAAGTGATTTCTGTTTGGAAAGCTAAACAGATCATAATCTTTTACATGGCTGGTGATCAGAAGAACCAATGAGGTAAGTTGTTTCTCCAAAGGCTAAATGCATAAAGAAAACAAAGCCCTCAAAACAATTCAAATAGAAGAGTCTCCTGAAATACATAGAGGATGTAAGACAAGAGGGGATTCCTCAGACTTATGAATTAAATATGGAAAACATTTTGTGGAAAGACCTACTGAGTAAGACAAATATAAAACCTGTAAGGAAAATAAAGCTGGTTTGCCTTTCATGTACTAGGCACATCAACTTTATAGCTGACACACACACTCTGCTTCATGCAATGACAAGTGTTGGACCATCACCATCTTAGTAGAGGATGGGAATCTTTGCTGACTGGCCTGAGATCCTGTTAAATGTATCTTCATGTTCTGCACCACATGTTGATGATCTGTATATCTGCAGAAACTAACATTGCTACCTACCTGAAACCCCTGGATTTACAAATCAGTTATCAAATCTTGTGGTTTGTAAGGGATCAGATGTAAAAATGCTCTATTCAAAGGGGTGTGACCCACATTCAAGAAATAAGAGCTGCAAAAGATTCTGACATTGATTTTCTGGATTTCTGCTCCTCTGCAACAGCCTTGCTTCATGGACAACTTTTTGCAGCAGTTCTGCCAGACCAAAATGAACAGAAGTATGAGCACAAAATGAGTTGCCATTCTACCAGCCTTTCAGAAGAGGGAAAGGCTACAGACTAGGGGCAGGAGTGCCTTAAACAATAGCTGCAGGATTCACTATATATCAACTGCTCTTCGGATCATCGAGGATTTGTTGGGAATTGTCCCTGCTGCTCTTTGACCATACTTCTGCCTCCTCTACCCACTTATCCACTGTCAGGGCCAAACTGAACAGATACAGACAACCAGACAGATGTAACACAAATTTGAAAGCAACTTTGCATTTCATCTGCCTATTCCCCTTAATGCCTGCTGAATTTCATTCCAACCTGATCATTTTTTGCATCTAACTGATTTACTTTAAAACTGAAAACCTGAGGGGAAGCCAGAACTTGCTCTACAATCTGTCTTTTAAGGCCTTGATCCCTATCCTGGCAGGAGAGAATCAGATAATAGGCACTAGCCTCAGTTCCTACATAAAAGTAGGCATCCAAATAGAACAAAAGTATCTTAGAGGCATTCTCCTGAGGGGAGATTTACAAGTGAAACCATAAAAGGGAGAGAATTTCTTGAATGTCTCTATTGCTAGCAAAGCTCTTCTCTTGCAAGTCATTAATCACTGGGCTCACAGGAGATTAATCTGCAGCATCTTTATTGTTCACAGAACAAGACAATCTGCATAGCTTTCAGATATTTTCCTATTGTAAAGCTTCAAATTTAATTTGATAGAAGATTATTAACTTCACCCCATACACTGTGTGTAACTCTAAGGACCTCTAAGCCAAAATTAGAGTGCAACTATTTATACTGTAAGACAAGTAACTGTGTATCTAATAAGTAATTTCTTTAAAACTTAACCAAAGTCTCAGAAGGTTAAATTTCTTTCCAGTACGTATTTACCTCCAAATACAATGCTTTTCTTTTAACAAAGGGAAGGGTTATGCATATGCCGCAAACTTAAATGCATGCAAGTCCGTTTGAATTTTTCCTTGTGTATTTCTAGAGCAAAACACATTAAAAATGCCTTTGTGCAATAATCTTACAAAATTTAGTGCTGTTCCTAGTAACTTGGGTTAAAAAACACATTATATGGACCATGTTGTAACATTCATACATGTGCTCCCAGTGTGAAAATTATTTTGGTCTGCAGAGATTTAGTCTAACTGCATCTAGGTTACTACTTTATGATCACTGCCAATTTCTTCATGCCAGGGATCTCCTATCCCAGTATGTGTCCCAGGCTGAGCAGTCCATGTGCTCCATCCTAGGCACTTTGAGAGCCCTGCCCCACAGTCCTTGAGTAAAGACACTCTAGGGATGAGGACTGCTGGATAACACCCAAGTGCAACGGCTGCACCGGTGTCAGGTGTGGGAATTGTAACTGGAAACAAGACACCTCTGGGGCTGGGGCTGTCACTGGTGCTCTGCTGGTTTTTGGGAAGCATCAAACCTTCAGACAAGCCTACAAAGTGCATACAACAGTGATCAGAAACTTCAGAGACTACAGACGTGATGCCGAAGATATTACAATCAGTAACTCTGTTATGTGAGTAAAATTTTAGTAACAGTTGCAGAATCACAGACCACACAACCAATCATACAGAAATGAATCATGGAACATTTGCTGATTCCTTGGTTACCCCCTGCTGTACTCATTGCATGAGGCAAGAAATGCAGGGATAAGGAGTCAGAACTTAGAGCACATGCTCTCATGCAACAAAGTCAGCAGAAGCTGGAAAGGAAGAAATCAACTTGTTTACGCTGCCTTAAACCAGACTGCTTGCTCTGAGATGTTTGATCTCTGCATCCTTACTCAAACTTCTCTGCTGTAGCCCTCAGTATGCACCCAAAACACCACCAAATCCAATGGATGTTTTGGTTTGGTTTGGTTTGGTGGGGTTTTTTCTGTTGTTGGTTTGGAGGTTTTCTGGTAGCTGTTTATTAAAAAAAAAAGATATTAAAGAACTCACGTCACATTATATACTGCAATACCTTTTCATGATAGCACAAATAAGAATATGGAAATTAATTCTTCACATAATGTCAGTTTTTTAAGGTTTGTCAAGCCTTAAATTTAACCTCTACAAAATTTTTAAGCATTTTTTTTTTCTTCTCAATTGCTACACTGGACATACACAAGATGTGTACGTAAATAATTGATAATGCAAACAAACCTCATGTACCTCATGCACAAGTAATCAAAAACCTCATTCTTTATTTTCTTGCCGAAGTAATAATTCTATACATTATTTTCCAATTTCACTGCTTCTCCTCACCCAACCCATTGTCATCCTATGTGGCACAGTGGACATTTTTTATCCCCAAGGTGAAGGTCCACAGAGAGCAAGAAAAACTCTCCAGTTTCTCATCTTCTGGTCAAAGAATATGTGCAACAACCAAACCAGCTCACTAAAATTAATATAAGTTCATAACAGCTCAACAAAACAAATAACTCAGAAGTTATTTGCAGCTACACAAAAAATAACATCTCAGGACTGCTTTCAGCAGCTGCTCGTTAACAAGTCTTAGAACAGATTTTAAGCTAAAGGACACTTATGAAATTGAGTTATCAGTTGTCCAGGTACCTGAACAAGCAGATTGCTAACTGACTAAAGAATAGACAACACCGAGAAAATTTTCTTAACTTTTCTTTAGCCTCAGCAGAAGTCCTTTCCTCACAAAATGTTCAGAAACTGCGTGCAAACAGCAACTTAACAGCAACAGACTGCCAGCTGTAAGAATAATAATGTTCAGTAACTCCCAGAAATGGCAATATTATTAAACTAGCAGTTCAGAACCTTATATATTTGACAGGTACTGTTATTCAAAGCAAAACAAGAAATTTCCTGCCAGCCAATGATGACAGTGATTCACAACAGAAGCACGAGCAGAGAGTTTCAGCGTTTTCTTTTGGTTGAAAAGGATTTGCATGAGCCCTTGTCTGACAGATGACATGGAGGGCAGCTACTGTTTGACCCCTCTTAATTCAATCTGCAAAAAAATAAAGCCTTGGTCTAGACCTCTTTTTCTGTCTTTTCCAAGTGAGAGAACCCTCTCAAAGAGATGAGGTACCAGGAAAAAAAATCCTGTTCTTTTCTAATTACCTATCTTTCCACTACTTTTTTTTTTTACACTAAGGTTCATCTCAAGTCTTTTTTCAAATAAAGGCATTAACTGAATATAAATGGTTTTTAAAGTCTCTTTAGCACTAGAACTACTATGAGAAAAAATATGTTTACATGAGCTTCAGAAGTAAATTCAAAGCACAAGCAAGCATGTATTACACTCAGAAAAAAAATGAAAATGTTCAAGAACAAATTCACAATGTTCTCAGTCAGTCACCTTCCTGTTAAAAGAATTTTTCATCCACGCCTTCCATGAATAAGCCAAGAGTCGAACAATTGTTTTGCTGCTATTGTACACTCAGTTAGGAGTTTTCTACACCTGTCCACTACAGCAAGCATGAAACAGAAGACTTACAGTAGGTTGATAGCGAGATTTATTAAGCAACAGATGCACAGCTCAATAGAAATGACTTTTCAGTTACTTTGCTTAGATCAATTTAGAGTAAGTACCAACATGAGTGTATGTAGACTAAGGGGTTTAATTCGTTAATATCCTGATCCAATGTCAGGGCAGTGAGAGAGGCAGCACTCAGCAATTGCTACTAAAAAGCTACTGGAAAGAAGCCATGCTAGTTGGCTGCTGATCCTGGTATGTGGCACCACAAAGGCCAAGGAGTTTGTCACGTTCACCCACCACTGCATTCAAGGACAGTACCCAGCTCACAGGAAAGTGTGCAGAGACAGGGAACTGCTGGTGACCCCAATGGCTTTGTCTGCAATACACAAGGCCACCCAGCTGACCTCCTCTCACACCAAACACAGGGTTACCCCTTGAACTTGCTGAAAGAGTCAAAGGGTGAGATTTGGACTATCACAAAAAAATACTGAAGTAATCAACACATTACCTCACTGACTAACCAGTGCTCACTCCTGTAAGACACGGAGGGTATAAAATCTGCTAAGAATTTATCATGGAATAAGCAAAAAAATAATAAATTGGGCACCAACTAAAGCAATATATGCAAATATCCATGTTTTAGTTCTGCAACACTACCTACAAACCAGGAGAGCACGTAAAAAGCCACTGCTACTGAGTGACTAAGACACATTCCATCTAAATTATAAGAAACAATGACAATTGTCATTAACAGATGCAATTTGGCTTTACGACCTTTGAGCCATCCATAGATGCAGTTTTACTGACATCACTTAACTGGTCCAATAGTACCAGTTTACTGTACTGTTGAGGAGCTGTGCTTACAGGAGAAGGAATCTCAAAAGTAGTTCAGCTTTTCCCAATATAGCACCTTGCTAAGGGCTTCTGCCAACACAATGTCAGTCACAGATCACGCACTTGGCCAGTTCATCGATGTCAGGAGAATCCTCTGGTACAGACACAGCCTGGGAAAAAAATGTGAGGCCTGTGCAGCAGGTAAAAGAAAAACTTGAACTGCATGCAAAATAGTAACGAGTCTGAATAAAGAACAGGGAAGATATTGGACCTTACATATTTTTAAAGAACGAAGAAAAAAATTCAAGGTTGTGTCTTCAGAAACAGTGACCAGAACATCAAATGGATACAGGGACTCATTTAATGAAAAGCACAAAAAAGTATGAGTCCTAAGTTACATTTATGAGTAAAAGAATAGTTAGCTGACACAGCTGTTGGTAGCAAATTCATTATTGACCTTTGTGTTTTCCAAAAGATTTTCCTCTTGTATTTCAACTGTGAAATGAATTACTGGCTCTTATTCACTGTGCAGACTTGTATGTGAAATCCAACTGAGTTTGAAAAAATACCCCATCAGGTTAGAAAAGCAGATTAATACAATACAGGCAGTTTTATAAGTGAAGTATCTGCAGAGGCTGTATTTTCATTCACGGGTCTTATCGCTATTAGCCATAACTAATAAAATATGAGAGGAAACGAAATCTACATGGCATCATTGCTTGGGATATGAGTAACAGGAAGACAGTCCTCTACACACACATAAAGCAGTCCTGGGAACTTGCAGCAATTTATTTTCCTGATGTAGCCATATTTTGACCAGCTAGACAATTATCTCATGTAATCAGTCAAATCTGCTAACTTCTGCAGCTTTCCTAAGCAATAACTCTCAATTTTTTACAGTGTAAGCAATGACACTCTTCAAGAAACTTTGCATCAGGTCATAGCACTCAACTTATTCTTAAATGCACAGAGCCTTCTGATAATTCAATTTGTGGAGCAACACAATATTTTAAATCAAATGCTATGTGTTTTAAATGTTTTTAGTGCTTCCTTCCTACAACTGCAGAATGACTACAAACCCCTTGATATTGCTGGAATTCAGAAACACAAGGAAAAAAATCCAGAGTGAATGCACTAACAGGGAAGTTACTGCAGCAAGACAAAGGTCATAGCAGCCTGCAAACCAGAGCTCACATGCAGCAAGCATGCTCCCATAAATAAGCCAGATGCTGCTTGCAGCCATGAGCCAAAGATACCATAGTAAACAATTTGAATGTGCCCTCTGCACACAACTTGTTCAGTACTGTTTGGTGCCCAGGAAGGAACAAATCACTGCATTCAAAGTAGTTGCCTCAAGGTCCAGCATAGGTTCTACAGCTTACTGTGCTTTCAGGAATGCCAGAGAGTAGCTATGATTCACTAGCTGGGGAAGTTGCCACCTTCCTTGCCACTCGTGTCTACCAGCGCATCCATCTTCATCACTCAAACCATCAAGGTTAAAGCTGACCTTTTCCAGTCTCCAAGACGTGATTTTTTTTCCCCTCTTGATCATTTCAGATGGGAAGCTTAAACTGTCTGACAATTCAATGCATTTTGGGTGATACAGAAGATGGGAGAAGAAAATGCAGTACAGGATATTCTTATAAAAGCCCATCAGCTTGTCAAATCCATTACTTCAAATATGTTTGTCAACTGCAACATCACCTCAGTAATCCTGTGTACCTGGCAAGGTACATCTGGGACTGCAGATGTGCAGAAAGTGCATCTTAGAGGCATTTTTTCAAATACAGATATACAAGAGAATCATGGATTTGATCTGGACTCTGATCTTACATGCTGTCCTTGAGTTTTTGCACAGACCATTTTATCTGAAAGTTCTCAGAACAGTAATTTACAACAGGATAAGTGGGATAAGTGTATGTTTTAAGAGCACACCTACTCAGGCAAATTCTACACTTTAAAGTCTCTGCTGCATAAACTGGTGTGGCTTCTATATTTTCATGGAACATACTCCATTTTAAAACAATCTAGTGTTTTCTTTCCGCTCTGCTCTATCCAACATCTCACAGATTTCCTTTTCAAAATACTATTCCTGTAGGAAACTTACTCATAGTATTCTAGACCTCAGAGGCAGAGGTACGTTTCCCCCTCAGCAGCACTCAGATCCATGCTCAGCCACTTGATGAGAAGATGCATTTGGCAATGCGTGATCTTGGAACAAACTACTCCTGATCCCTGCACAGTGAAGGCAGAACCACAACCACGAATATCTGGCTAAGAGCTCTGTGGGTCACACAGGCTGACCACAGAGAGACACGGTGCTCCAGAAGCAAGTCCAGCCAAGGGTAATAAATGTGATTTAAGGGACTGAAGCATCTTTCATAGAAGCAAAACCTAAAGGTTCTCCTGGCCTGCCCAGGCTTGAGAAGAGATGACTGAGAGGAGACCTCATCAATATCTATCAGCGTCCGGAGAAAATGTGTCAGGAGGATGGGACTGGGCTCTGCTCAGTGGTGCCAAGCAACGGGACAAGAAGCAATGGACAAAAACTGATGCACAGAAGTTCAACCTGAACATGAGGAAGAACTTTACTGTGCAGTGACCGAGCACTGGAACAGGCTGCTCAGAGACGGTGTGGAGTCTCCCTCACTGGAGATATTCCAGACCGTCTGGACAGAATCCTGTGCCATGTGCTCTGGGATGCCGCTGCTCGACCCCGGAGATTGGACCAGAAGACCCATTGTGGGTCCTTCCGACCTGCCGGGCGTGCACGCAGAGCAGGACCAGGATGCCACCCGAGCTCCATCCCACCACACGCCTGCTCCTCGGTCGGGACCGGCACTGACAGCCGCTTTCCGGACCGGCCCAGCGGCCTGTCGGGCCCTGCCGCCCGCAGATCGCAGCCCGGGCATCCCCACGCTGCCCCGGGCGGCCCGGCCGGCGGCGGAACCCCGGCCCGTGCTGCCGCTACAGGTGGCGCCGCTCCCCGCTCACCATCTCATCGTGTCCGGGCCCGTCGGGCTGCCCGGAGACGCCTTCGCCGCCGGGCCCGGGGCTCGCCCGGCCCTCGGGGGTCTTCCGCTCACTCGCGCCCTTCCCGCGCCGCGCCGCCCGCCGCCCCCACAGGTAAATCGCGCCGGCGCCCAGAAGGATGGGCGCGCCCAGCACCAGCGCCAGCTGCCAGCGGGACAGCCCGGCGGTGCCGCCGCCACCGCCCGGCGCCTCCACGGGCTTCGAGGCGGCCATGACGCCCGGGAGGAGGAGGAAGGGGGGGAGGGTCAGCGGACACGCGGAGCGCGCCGGGAGGGCGCGGGCGCGCCGCCGCTTCCTCCCGTCCGCAGCGCCCCCTGCCGGCGCGGAGGGGCACCCGCAGCCCCCGTGAGGGAGCCCGGGAGGGGCCGGGCCGGGCTCGGGGCTCGGGGGAGCTCCCCGGCAAAGGAGCGGCCTCAGGGCCGGAGTGATCCGTGCGGAAGGAGGTCTGAGCCGCTCCCATGAGAAGTGCGCTCCACATTTGGAGTGCTGTGTCCAGTCCTGGGCTCCTCAGTACCACAGAGACCTGCAGCTCCTGGAGCGGGTCCAGGAGAGGGCAACGAAGGGGACTAAGTCGCTCTTAAGAGGAAAGGCTGAGGGAGCTGGGCCTGTTCAGCCTTGAGAAGAGACGGCTGAGAGGAGGTCTCATCAATGTCTACAAGCACCTAAAGAGGGGATACCAAGAAGATGGATCCAGGCTCTTCTCGGTGGTGCCAAGCAAAGGGACAAGAGACTACGGGCAGAAACTGATGCACAGCAACTTCCACCAGAATATGGGGAAGAATTTATTTGCTCTGCAGGTGACTGTGCACTGGTTGCCCAGAGAAGTTGTGGAGTTTCCTTCACTGGCAATATTCCAGACCTGTCTGCACACTGTCCTGTGCCATGTGCACTGGGACGACCCTGCTTGAGCAAGGAGGTTTTATCAGATGATCCATTGTGGCCCTTCCCAACCATACCTGGTTGATTCTCTAATTCTGTGAAGTTTCAGCTAATGTGGCTGATTAAAACTTTCCAGGAGTTTGTACTTAAGAGTTTTGGAGCAATCCTTGTTATAAATGAAATCTTTCTGTTTTCTTCCCAGTTATTAATTGAATCTATAATAATAATAATTTAATACGTAATACTGGAATTTTGTTCATATGTATGTCTATGCCTAATTAAAATCCTTACCTGTAGACAGAAGAAGCTTATGCTCCTGTCTCCACTTATTTCTGTGGGGCACTCAGGTTTAGATGAGAGAGGAATAATATTTGATATGTTTTTACAATCAGCTCCAGTCATCTCATGCCTGGAAATTTCATTGTAGTTGGGAGGGAAATGTAAGAAGACACATATTGTGCAGAAGAAAAAAGGGCTGCAAATAAAAACAATAAGATTGCAAAGCAAACACCTCAGGATCCCAACTAAAATTTGCCCTGCTGTGGTCTGAGTCAGCATATCTGAGTGCCTGGTAGTAAACAACTTGAGAAATATCCTTTAACTGATGGATTATTACTGTTTATCTAAGCATATTTTGACAAAACTGTGGGACAACCCCTCCCCCCGGTTCTCTGTATCACCTCACAATAGAAAACACGTACCCAACAGGTCAATAGCTTCCTGCTGGGACAACCTCAATTCCACCTACATCATGCTTCCTGTAGGCCTTCGCATGTGCCCTTGCCTGTATAGATGGGTGTTTGCCAGGATGTAAGTCAAATTCAGGCTGTTTGAATATGGCCAGGAGTGTCCTTCCCCACCTAGAAAATCAGCCTACACATCCTTTTCATTGCTTCAGGTGTCTACTTACTGTACTGTTTTGCAGGCATTCCTCTTGCTCCTGTCCAGGCTGCTTCAGGCGTGGTTGTGTCTCCAAGCTCTCCTACAGAACATCTGAGGGAATGCCATCTGCACACCCATGTACTCAGGTCTCTCTGCTAATCACACTCTTACCTGCTCTGGACAGGGTAAAATTTGGCACATAGGCATCCGTGAATGAACAGTCCCACACTGTACTTATACCTCACACATACATCCCTGTGAATGAAACTGGAGTTTAGTAGCTACATCTGTAGTTCTAAACAGGCCGGGGAAAAGGTTTAATGCTGGACCACTGATTCTCTGTAATGCTAAATTACCAGCAAGCTTTTTAGTTTATTTCTGGCCAAGGCCAAGCGTCTCCACAGCAATGCCTGGGCAGCAGAAGAACACCAGCACACACCAAGGACTGCTTCCAGTAAGAAGTTAGATTTGGTTTCTTCCTCCCATGCAGTCTTCCAACACCATCCCAACAGGCTCTACAGCCTTAGAATCCTCATTTTCCTCCTGCCACATCCCAAATCATGTAACACCTCTTCCAGTTTCATACCACGCAGACAACAGTTGAGTGAGCTACAACAGTTTTTGTGTTATATCAGAGATTTTGAAATAAAGGAGACACAAAAATGACAACAAAGGATTACAGCCACTATAATTACAGTATAGAGCCTCAAGGAGACCCTCAGCAAATATACCACTTAAGGTACGTGTGGTCAGTTTAGATACTGGTCTGAGGGCTAGAAGTAATTTCCTGGTCCTATTGGTTCTGTGGTATAGGCAGAGCCTGTATGGCTTACACCCAGGGCTGGTGAGGAAGAACCAGCACATTTTAACCCTGGGCACATTCAAGTGAGGCAGGGCCTCCCATACCCCTGATACAGCAGATGAAATTACTCAGGTGAAAAGCAGCAGCTGCAAGTTTACACTGTCTGCCATAACCCAGAAATGAATGAGCAGTTGCTTCAGGGAGGATTTCTACAAAGACAAACAATGTTTCTGAAATACTGAAGGAAGAGCAGAGGCAACAGAAGTCAGGAGAGAGAGAGAGCGACAGGAGAAGAGGGGCCATTTGTGATCCCTCCCACAGAGCCAGCTAGGTCTCTGCAAGCAGCTGTGCCAGTTTCTGACCAACATCAATATGTCAATTCTGCTTCTCAAAAATCACAAGCCTACTTTGGGTCTGCCCCCCGCAGGCATGTAACTGTGGGCAAGTCTGCATTGGTATTGACAGCTGGGGCACTCAGCAGCAACACAGGGAGCAGCCACAGCCCTGCCACCCACCCCCTGCGGCAGTGTCATATTGGACATGGCTGCAATGGAAAGGTTAAAGGAAACCTTGTTGAAAAGAGATGAGAAAGGGCTGACCTTATGTTTAGACAACGCCCGGGGCTGCACTGGGACAGGTTTTGGGGAGGGAGTGCAGAAAGAGTGGTTGAAACTGTGTCTCCTCTTGGCATAACAGTGTGAAGCTATAGGTTCGGTGGTGGAATTTGACCTTGCTTTGCCTTGCCTGGTTGGGAGACCCCCCCAAGTTTGGAGCATCTGTACATGGAATATGATGAGGATGATGATATTTTCTTTGCAAAATGGATGAGCAGCTTCTGGGGCCACAATTTGATCGATGAGGAGAAAGAAGGCAGAGGCCACAAGAAACGTCAGCCACGAGTCTGTAGCGAAAGGAGATCATCCCTGCCGGTAAGAGCTGTGTGCAGCTTTCTCTGGGTGTGCACGTGGTATATGTATAAATATAAGTTCCATCCCCAGAGGTTCGGCCCCAGGGATGTATGAGGAGTATGGGACACCTTGCCAAGTAAGTTCAGTTCCTGCTGGCAGCTGCTAGTTGCTTTTTGAACTTAGCTGTTTAACAGGGTCCAGCCTCTGGGATCTTGGAATACAGAAAACTGGCAAACTCCTAGATAAGTGATGATAAGATCAGAAATGTAAGGAGAAGCATGTAATAGCTGCCCAACTATGTATTACTGCAGTACTACTAATACTAGTTATGTATTACTCTGTGTGCTGGCTGCTCAGCACAACTGGCAGAGATCAGAACATTTTGCACCTGTGTACCTAACGACTGTTCTGTAACGAGTCTGTTCTCATGTGAAAAACGGTACAACTCCATATGTATTACAAGGATTTGGACCTAATTATGCAACTATATTGTCTCCAGGATGTTTTACCCTTTACCCCTTGGGACTTACCTGTTTTCAGGTAAATATAACTTCTATTTTAAGCTAGAAGATGTAGTCCTTCCTGTTTTAAAATATCTGACCCTGAAAACAATGATACAACACATAACAAAGCTTACTAAACTGTGAAGTAAGATTTTAAGGTAGAAGTACATTATTTATTCTTATAACAAAACAGTTGGGAAAGGGCAGGTTCATGTGCAGAAGGCAGCTCACAACTGTCTAAGTGATTATCAAAATTAAGTTAAACTGAAAACAACTGTTCACAGTCTTCCCTTTATTCAAAGATTGTTGCTTTCATTTCAGCTCTTAAAAGAATATTTAGGTGGTCCAAACCTGTCTCCTTTTTTCCCAATTACATCAGTTGTCTTAACAAAGATATTATGTTTCCTAACAAACCAGTTTTTCTTATACCCTTAGATCATGATGTCTGCAATGAAGCAAATGCTTATATACTGGGGAGGAACAGCTAATATTTTCCAAACTGTTTTTGGTACCATTCTATGTTTCCACCTTGCAAGTTCTTTTCCTCTGCAGCTGTCAGGTTCTAAGCTGTGGAATTTTTCACTTCCAAAAGAAATTGCCTAAGAAAACAAAGGAGTCCAAAGCCACTTCCTCCCTCTTTGAATTTATGTACAGACTGGAGAGGTAACCTTCATTCATAACTTCTGGTCTGATAAGCCACATTTGTTTATTTTTTTATTTATTTAAATTATTTACTCTTATATTTCACCTCTGCCACAGATTGTAAGACAGACTCTTTGCCTCTCTATTCCATCAGAACGCTGAATACATAACATTTATTAATGGCAGGGGAAAGAGGTTAATTAATTTTACTGTATTTTACTTTTTTTCACTCAGAGATCCATGCATATGTGATTTCTTTAGGCCTCCAGAGAAACTGGAGTATAAGGATGTACTTTAAATCTCTTTCCATTCAGCAAGGTGCTGAACACATCTGGTAGATTTGTGTCTGTATTTGTGCATGCATAGACATTTCATTTGAAGCATGTCCTTATAGTCAGTTTGTTCAGAAGCTATTTAAATATTTAGCTAATAGCTATTCAAATACTTTGCTATACTTGCATTCCTTAATCCATATCTAGAATTTAGATTAAGTTAGCTGAAAGACTGATTTTTTAACATTACTGTTTAACAAGCTAAAGATATTACGTATAATGATATCTGGCCTTTACATTAATGCTTGACTCAAATTTGTCTTGCTCCACTAGTTTCATTATAGAAGATGTAAATTTTAACTGCTTTATTTCTCAGTGCCAGATGTTGACTGGAGGAATGAGATGGGAAGATCTGTCTGGGGATTTTATGATTTGGGGATACATTTTGAAATGAACTCTTGATTTGGAAGTTGAGTAGTTGGAAGTAAAGAGCACTAGTATGTTCTCTAACCAAAGCCAGAAGCTAAACAAATGGGCAATATTGATGCCTTGGGAATACCTCCAGAAAGAGCATCTCCTTGTTGAGAGCAGTAACTTGGGAGCCATTGCACCTGGATGTGTGTTTTTGGCACAGTTATTCCAAATTATAACTGTTGTAAGATTCAAAACACTGGTACTGTTATTTAAATATTGTCTTCATTTTATCAGAACAGTGCTAATTATCAGGCAGAATAATAACTGAGATTAGAATGCATCTCTTCTGAAAGCTAATACCTCCACAGCAGGTCACAGTGTACCCTTTCTTCTGTTTCAACACTGAAAATTGAGATAACTCCACTGTCTAGACGAAAATCAAGTCAGCAAGTTCTGACATAACTGTTGGAAAAAGCTCCTTGTTCAGGTACAATGGTACTGCCAAAAGAGCACTGCCAGCTCACTTGGTCTCATAACTAATGCTGGTATTCAGGACATCAGCAGCAGAGCAGTCCTGCCCATGTGAACTGCTTCTGCACCACAGTCTTTGGTGCTGCACAGCAAAGTGCTCTCAGGGTAGCACACTAAAGGTGGTTCTGCTGGAAAATCACTTTCAGCTCCAAACTGGTGTGTTGGTCTTTGTAGTGCTGTAGTGAGATATTGAAGCCACTGCTCCCACCTCAAAGACAGAAATAAAATCCTGTGGTATCCTATCATGGTACAGTCCCCATCCTAAATATGGATAAAGCTTTGAAGAGTAACTCCAAACTAACAACAGTTTTCTCCCCCCCCCCCCAATATCTTGGTGTATCTCACAAACACTACTGAGATGAGCTTTGCAAAATGCTTTTGCTATAGTCATTTACGCTTTGCAGAGAGGAACACAAAATTATATTCATCCTTCACTGGGTCACTTGCAAGTCAGGCTAAAACAAGTAACTCCAATCTGTCAGACTAAAACAACGTGTAACTCCACTCTCCTGGGAATGCTTAGACCTGTGTATGCTGCTGTGAGCCAACACTGAATTTAAAAACTGCCTGGGGATAATTAAGTCAGCTGTTTCCATGTCCTTTATTTAACTTGTTCCCTTGGCAAACTTTAGACTAACTGATCCTCTTTTTGAAGCCTCCAGCTATGACTTTCCTTGACACATTCTAGTTACCCAAATAATCTCGGTTCAGAGCACATTTTACCTCCCGGACATTTTGTTGTAAGGACAACACTAGAGGCAAAGGAAAACTAGGAAGAAGTTTACAACCCTATACATGTATCCACCTTCAAATGTACATTGTTGCTCACAGGAAAAATTGCTGAGACAACTGAGAGTGAGAGCAGAACAAACGACCGCTGTTGATGGTATTGACATTTAATTTAACCTGAACTTGACTGAACATCTACAACAATATTTTTACTATAGACCAATTGAAGGCTAGACCAAAACATTTTTAAGAAATATATGCTTGTCTGTAAGATTCTCGAAAGGAAATGAAGCCATGGGAGAGCATCTGAATATGAGATGTTCCAAAACATCCCTAAAATACTCGGGTCATTGTGTAAACTCCAGCAAACAATGAGCACTTGTGCTGACACACTGAAGATTATTGTTCCTACTGACAGCTGTGCAAGCTCTCAACTCAAGCTCAAAAGATGTAAACAATTAACTTGTCTACAACAGAAAATGAGAAAGAGATAAGGCAAATTATACTGACAACAATTTTTGTTGTGTGAAGTATTTTTGTTTGTGTACCTTTTGTGTATTTGAGATGGGTGATTAGCAGATTAGCTCTTTTGTAAATATGTACATTGAACATGAGTGGGATTTATGCACAGAGAAAAAAGACTACTAATGGGAATGAGGAACAACCCCTTTGATCCCTTAGTGCTTTTGGCTTTCCCAGCACTGGCAAAAAATCCCCATTTTGATGATGGAGAATTTAATGTATCATGCAAAGGCACTGTGAGAGAAAGCACAGTCACAGTAATATAATTGCATAGACCTGTCTGTGTAGCTTTACCCTTAGCCCACTGAGGCAGATGGGCAATTCAGAGGAAAGCTTGTCCCTTTTCTGGACCATTGCTGCCATATCAGTAGGTAAACTGGAGTCTTTTTGTTAAGGGCTTAGCTGTAATTCTATCTGTGAAGGGAAATTAAAAAGAAATCTCTTAGTAAAAGGAAACATTTACAGACTTTGCAAAACAAAATTGATAGAATACAATCCCCCATTTCAGCTGTCCTCCTATGTTTGATTTGGGTTTTTTCCCAAACTCTCTAGGAACAGATACCAGTGATTTTTACCATGAGACGATTTTTGTTTCCAGGGAAGAATATATGTTGATGCCATTAAAATGACAGAGAAGACATTTAGCTTGTTGAGCCTGGCATGGAATGCATGCTCCTGTCTCTCGAGCACAATGGGATTGCTTTGATGCTTTCTAAAGTGACAATACAATATGACCTTGCAGAACTTGCAGCTGTATTGACTGGTTTAAAACTGAAGTAAAAATAATATGGCAGAAATAATTAACACTACTCTCAGAGGCAGTCCATAATACTGGACATAGTAAGCTTATGCCTGGAAAAAGAAATGGAGCCAATACCATGTATTTTGTAAGCACTTTTTAATATTAGGTACTTCTGTCAGGAGTGAGATTTATTATTTTTAGCATCTCTCATTTGTCTAATGTGATGTAGCCACAGCATGTGAATGTACAGCCTCCCTCTTCAGAGAAAGGCTGCAAAGGTCCTTGTTGTGCCAATACATTTATAGCACCATCTGGGCCAGAGTGAATGAAGTTGTGTGCAGGACATGTTTTGGGTCCCTTGCAGTCCAAGGTTTGTAGATTCACGTGAACACTATACCAAGTTAGTTTAGTTTTCCCTTGTTTGTTAAAATAACAAAACAACCAACACACACATACCACAAACCCTGTGCTGAGTGTATGGTTTTCTACTGGATTTTCTTAGAAAGCATTGCAGATAAACTAGTGGGATAAACCTTCCTTTGTTATAAACTATCACAGCTCTTTTAAAGCCAGCAGAACTTCTTAGGGTTACTTAGGAGCTAAAGGCCTAGCACCAGGCTTGTACAAAACAGTGAATCACAGAATCGACTAGATTGGAAAAGATCCCTGAGATCATTGAGTCCAGCCTTTCACCAATCCACCACATCAACTAGACGATGGAACTGAGTGCCATGTCCTGTCTTTCCTTAAACACCTCCAGGGACAGTGACTCCAACACCTCCCTGGACAGCCCATTCCAGTTATCCCATCCAGGTTATCCCTTCTGTGAAGAAATTCCTCTTAACATCCAAAACAAATATGCATTCAAAAATGTATGCAGCAGCTGGGTGCCTGGAGTGCTTTAATCTCACACCTGCAGGGGTGTAATTTTCAGTACCTCCCATCTCTCACAACTTTCACCATCTGCATCTTACCAGTGTTTAGTTACTCATTCTGAAAATCATCAACAGCTGGCAGGGTTTGGGGTATCCCCGACTCTGTGTGGGGTGTCTCTGCCTTCTCACCCCTCTCTTCTACAGGTCTGTTCCTTTCTAAAGCCACCAATACATGACTCCACAGGACACAGCAGTTCTGTATCAGTGTAATCTCCTTTCCAGATATTCAATTAAACACAGCTGATGCAGATCAATAGCTTTTATCTGCATGCCAGGCCTCAGAAAATTGAATCACACAGAAACTAAACAACCATCTACTCACTCCCCACTTCAGTCCTGCAAATATAATTGTAGAAGTCTGTTTCCTTCCACTTCTTTGGTAGGGGTGTGTCCCTCACTACCCTGAAAGTGCTCCTTCATTAGCTCAAGAAAATATGCCAAGAAAGCAGCAGAAAATTCAAAGCTGGGCAATAGAGCATCTTGTCTGCATGTAAACCGTGCTGAAAACTTGGCAGAACTGGGTAAGAAATGGTTACTGTCACACTCTAAACTCAAACAGCTGTTAAAACCTGGAGCACCGTGGGTCAAATCTGTTTTCTGACTCAGGTGGCCACAAAAGGCTGGGTAGTGTTTTTTGAGAGTCCTGCCTAGAAACTGCAGGCAGGTGTGAGGCCTGAGTTTGTGAGATTATGAAGAGTCCCAGTTCCTTTTAGTGTCAGTGAACACTAAGAGATTTACATTTGACCACTTTACATTTGAAATGTTCATTTTGTGACAAAACTTATATCCTCAAACCCAGGAGAAATTCTGCTGCTGCCTCCAGAAAGCAAGTTCTTGGCAGTGTGATTCTCCTACAGTTAAAAAAACCAAACAAACAAACAAAAAAACCCCCCAGAATTCTGGAAAAGCTCTTTCGCTTTGCACGACTGTTTGGGAGAGTGCCTGTGGCAGAAAAAAAATCTACCTTGTGTGTTCTGCTTTACTATTCAATAGTCAACAAAGACCTTTTGTTTTTCAGGCCAAGCTTTCCTCCTTCCACGCAACACGACTTCATGCTTCTGCCAAAGGCTCATCTTCGGGCCACCTCAGGGGCTCCAAGGAATTTCAAGACCAAGATGTCAAATGCCACTGCCACAGGAAGGCAAGCAGAACACCTTCAGCAGACAGCTCATGTCCAGACACAAGCTCAAACTCCATTCAGGAATTTGCAGAGTCCTTTGAAAAGCAACTGCATCTCAAAAGCAAACGCTCAGTTTCTTTGGTAGGTAACTTAAGATCACTACAGAAGAAAAAAGCCCAAACAATCAAATCAGCTTCATCCTTTGCGTAATTGCTGTGACTTTGTTGGGAGAAGTGCAGAAATAAACTCCAATTGGAGTTTCTCATATTATGTGGTCTCAAATTACTACAAGTAGCACAAACAAGGTTAAAGTTGTATCATCAGTGTGAGGATTATTGATATGGTGTTACTGTCTAGGCTTATTCAGGAATGTTTATCCCCAAAATGAGACACTGCACTGGCTCATGTGGCAATGCTTTCAGAAGTTTCTATGGCTGTGGCTACAAAACATGGCAATACAAACCCAGGTTTACTTCACTTCTGCTGCAACTTCTGCAAGACTCAGCTTAATTTTTCACTGCTGCTGACCTGACTTAACCTACTTGGAGTTATCTGTAATACTGCAATTAATACTGTAAGATACTCTGGTGTTTGAGAGACCTCTCATTTACCCCTCAAGACTTCATCCATCCACTTTCTGCAGTGTCACCACACAGCTGCAGCAGCAGCTATTGCTGTAACTAGCAGAACATATTTTCACTGAAAGGGAATGCAGGCAGCAGGGGATTCTCCCCTCATTTCATCCTTCTCTCGATCATTCTGTCCAGAGCCATGAGCATTTTGTCTGGTGTGTGTTGATGAAATAGCCAATAACAACTTTTTGTTTATGACACTTTAATACATTTTTATAATACATAGTATCTGCTGTACCATGCAATGGAAGGGTAATAAATCCTAACTCACTCTTAAGTATCAGAAAAACAGTATCAAATTGTCAATCCACTCAAAAACTGCTTGAATAACACCTGACATTAGCATCAAATAACTACAGAAGGAAGTATCCTTTTTTCCCAGTTTCTTGACACTAACAATTTGTATGGAAAAGTAATTTTCAACTCTCTTTACACTGCAAAAGATAAGCAGCATAATTACATGATCAATGCCATAATTAGAGTCCTTGCATGACCAGTCCTCTAAGAATATGAGAAATTATGATGATGACAGCACTGTTACACCATTGTCAAAATTTCTAGCACATTCCTAATCTTTTTTCTCTTCAGGAACTATTCAATTGATTTCATTTGGAAATTTACATTGCCTCATGTGCCAGTATTCACCAGTGGTTGTCTGGTTTATAATTTATAATTTCTAAGAAATGCCTGTGGCTAGGAAGTCTGTGAGCTTGTAGCTGATGTATGAGTAGGTATAGTGCACATAATGTATTAAATATGACTTTGGTTCTAGTTAAAATAATGGATTCCAGTGCTCCTCTGTAATCAGCAGTGAAGTGTGTGCTGAGCTGTATTTTAATCTGTTTTTCAAACAGACCAAGTTGTTGCCATTCCCTCAGTTACAATTGAAGTTTGGGAGATGTGAAGGACTTGTGAATCTCAAAGAACTGAACAATAAGTCAGAGATCTGAAAGAAAATTTGGGCTTAAACCTGTGTCTCCAAATGGAGCAGTTTTTTACGTTCAGAGCTCTGTGGGTGCAAACCACCATGATCAGACAGGTGAACAGTATGGGAAAGGTAATTCGTCTTCTTCCCTGCATATTGCTTTTCTATATAAACGTGCCTTTGATCCTTCAAACCTTGTTTTCAGTGAAGTCTTTGCAGCTAGCACTGAGCAGCCTTCAGGGGGGTAAAGATGGACATATGAAAGGATAGAAACATGGAGTCTGGGCTGAAATCTCGAGCTCCTCCCTTTCTCCCTCCTGTCTGCTCTCCTCTTCAAATCCACTAAGCCTGTGACCCTCCTATCATATACAGAGTAAAATCAAAGAATGTATGTTTCTTCTTGCTGAGCTTTAGGTTGACTGGCTTGGGTCGTGAATTTGAGCCCATCATGGTAAAACTGTCTTGGTGAGGCAAGTTACTGGAATATTTTATTACATAGTGAAATAAAATAATGGACTATTTTTGTTGTTGTTGATTTTTTTGTTGTTGTTTTGTTCTTGTAGGAGTCTCTTTTAATTCCCTGCTATTTTTTCCCCTGCCTTTTAGCAACCTGAAGGTGCAAAAGAGAGACGAGAAAGAGAAAAATTGCATTTGAGAAGAAGCAAGTCTCATAAGAAAATGGGAGAGAAATCAGATTCAAGGAGAGACCGAGAAGAAGCTGAAAGTTCAGAAGTACCTGCAAAATACAGCGAACAGTTTCCATTGCAAGCAAGCATTCAGAAAGGTTATGTATGCACAGGCAGCTAGAATGCATTGAGATAATCAATCTTAACACTCTCCTTGAAGAGCAGAGGGAGCATTCTTGTTCTGTTTTGACTAGAAGAGGCCTATTAGCTAGAATAGCCCCTAAGTTGTAAAATAAAAGTAAAATTCAACTGCACCACTGGCACAATGTTACTACCTTCCTTTCTTTACTTTTGCCTTTAGAAATGTGACCTTTGACATAGGAGTGGATCAGTAGCAAGATCCAAGTTAGAGATTAACCACCATAAGAGGATTTAGGCATATTTAGCATGCAGCAGGACAGTGGTGGATGTGTTTTTTTAAAAGGAGACCTCCATCTATGTATTACAGAGCCATGCAAAGCCTTATGTTTCTCTTTTAATCAAAAACAGGCTATTTGGTGGGTTTGAGAAGAAAAACGTACACATAAACAGCCAACTGCTTCCTGGCCCTGACATCCACTTAGATTTGTCTTGAAAACAGGTATCTTTTTCCTCTGAAAATCTCTCAGCTCCAAATGTATGTAAGAAAAGCCCATGCTCTCTCTGCACCTCCCTGATGTCTCACTTCTCTCTACTTTTCCTATCACTTTGCACTGTAGCTCGTTTCACTGACATCTCCCAGCCCTCTCCCATTTCCTCTGTCCCATTTCTCCATTCACACAACTAGTTCTTTCTCCCAACTTTACCCTTGTTACCTTGCTTCTTTTGTGGCCTTTCCCCTCTCCATTTACTACTTTACTGCCTGGTAGCTGTATCTTGCTTCTTGCTACATCTCTACTTTTGCTTCATCAACATTTGAGCCTTGCTGAAAATTCTCCAGTAAAACCAGAGACGTTCTATCTCTCCTATTTCCTATATAATCTCTTCAAGAGGTTGCTGAGGCATTGCAACTCTTTTTCGTTTTCCAAAATTGGGGCCAAACTGGTTGTCTCTGGTAAGCAGGACCTAGGAAAACACTGTTCCTCTGGCTGAGGATCTCCTCAACACAGGTGTAAATCTCATTTCCACATGCTCACAAACACATACGCACTTCCACAGTCCCCCTATGCCCCCCTTTCTTCAAAGTGCCAGTGTTCTCTGCAGATGCAACCCTGCTCTCTTTTGAAATAATCTCCCCAGGCCTACTATGGAGAAAGCCTGATTTGGATAATATGGTTAATGAAGAGTGAAGACTAATGAAGTAATGAGTGAAAGTCAAGGTCTGATGGATATTCTTCCTGTGATTTTTGTGTAATTAACAAAGATCTTACTAAATTACCTTAGAGCCTTACTTTTGAATGTTCAGCCCTTTAAAAGCTTAGGGCATCCTTAAAACTTTGTAACACTTATATCCATTAGGAGATTCTCTTTGGATTTTTTGTGTAAGGCTTTGGAGGATATATAAGAAAGCAATTGGACCCTTACTGATGCTTGTAAATTGCTTGTTGCCTGGTAACATATATTATAAACTAATAAATATAATAATGGAAAAATGTTGTTCCTATCATAGTTCCTGTCCTTTCCAATCCAGATTGAATTTTTACAAAGTTATTCTGTCAGACAAAACTTAAATAGATACGACTTTTCCTTTACAATCATAATCTGAAGACTGCATTACAAAGGGTCTGGATAGAAAAGGACATGGCCAGCAGTGTCTGAGCTCCTCAGATAAAACCTTTCACATACATTCTTTCAGGTAGCAGCCTGTCCTCACATCTTGAATGCCATGGCTGCATCAGCTTTGCCTGGATTTCAGGCCATCAGCTGCCTCCTGGTGTTTTACAGACAGGTAACACAACAGGCCCCACCCACCAGATTTTGCTTGTGTTCATAGGACCAGCGTGCTGGTTGTACACCACACCTGATGGAAAGAAAACACCAGAGCTAAAATAGGAGAGCCCTGTGTGGCTGCCTCTGACTTGCTGGTTACCATCTCCCTGAAAGCACAGACAAGCCTCACTGCCACCAGGGCAGCTGGGCAGCTCTGTCTGCAAACAGCTCCCCTGTGTTCCATTGAATCCCATCTCTCTGATGGGAAAGTCTGTAAGTGTTTATGTGCTTTTGAACTGGCCCATAGTGTGACTGGAAACAAGCTTTCACATAGTGCCCTCTATTTACTAAAAACTCTTCTCTCTTGCTCTAAATCATGGGTGATTAGACCAACAGTCCTTTCCAGCTCAGTCCCTTCCAGTCTGAGGCATTAGTATTACTTAGATGGACTGAAGCTTGCATGATGGAATGAAATCATTCTCCACAGAAATGAACGAGTATTCCATAACAAATCGGGCATTTGGGAATGCAGGTAACCATCCAAAGAGGAATCTGATTGCAATGGCTCATCTGACGTTGTGCTTCCACAGGGAATGGAATATACATGTAGTCAGAAAGACTCCAAAGAGTTTCCATTCTCACAGTGGGTCACTAGTTCTGTTGTGACTGACATAAAAAATAGTCACTGCCTTGATTCCATCCCGAATTCCTAGAGCAACGGGGCTGGTTGCAGGCAGTTTCTGCACAAACACCCATTCCTGGGCAAACATTGTTTGCTTTTTCTGCCCTTTCCAAGAATGGGATGGCTGCAAGTTGTATCAGAGTCCAAACCCTGGACATGGAGGAGTTCAGACTTCAGTGGGAAGTGAAGACAAAGGGATGAAAAATCCATATGCTCACTAATAAATATTGAAAACATGAAACAGAAGGAGGAACCAGCGGAAAAACTGGTGTGATTCAGGGACCCGTGAAGGAAATATTAAACTTGCTGTTTCTCACAAGTGGAGGACCGTGGTCTGATAAAATGCTCATTCCTGTGAATTCTTCCAGCAGGTCAGGCTAGCTGGAAAGTGCTCCTGTGGGAAGGGAAGATGTGGGTACATACAAATCTTTCAAGAGCAAGAGAGACTTTTACTCCAGTATTTTCTGAGAGGGCTAAGAATAGGACATCAGTTGTGGTTACCTCACCTGTTGGGTGGGCATTCCCAAAGCAAAATATTTATGCTTGCTTCTCAGGTATTGTTTAATTGCACTATATTTTTTAATGGTTTTGGTGCCATAAGTTTTAGCTTTTATACTTTCCAGATTCTGTATTGCATTGATGTGTGACTCTGAACTTCCTATAAAGTGTTAGCAAGTTCTCCTCACAGATTAGTTAGACAAGGCAATCCTTTTCCAGCCTAAGAACTAAGGGCATCATTGCAGCTTCAGGCCCAAAAAGTGTAAACAACAGCAACTTGAGAAAAGCAACCTGGGAGGATGGGATTTCATAACCTAGAGCTGTAATTGGACAATTAACCCCAATATGTAAATGGACCAAAACTTAGAAAAGTGTGAGCATTCATGACCAGTCGTCCATCTTGGGTCCATCTTGGGTGGAGCCATGGCTGGGCTCTTCTACTGCCCAAGGTGTATCCTTTGAAGGCCTTTTAATAAATACCTTCTTTATTCCTTTAACACCGTCTAGCCTCTGTTCCAGATAGCCTCTCTAGGCATCAGTTTGGAGGATGAATTAAATTCTGGTTAACTTATCATGTACTGGTATATGAAGTGCCATACCCCACACAGGTAAAATGATGTAACAGCTATATTTATGTACATGTCCACAACAACTCTTTCTGGGGAAAATATTGGAAATATTTAAATGCATGAATAAAATAGAAATGAAAAAACCACGATGTATAACTGAAGAAGAATATAATATCTATTTAAAAAAAGAAACAAAATATTAAATACAAAAAAAATAAAATATTCATCAGCAGGTTTTTGTCCTTTAGCACAAAAAATGGATTGCGCTTATCTAGAAAAGGTATTTGGGTAAGCACAGCCCTGGCTCTGAATGCACTCAGTGTACATATGAATAGTGTTAAACCATGTAGAGATATAATCAAGCTTGATAACTGAAATTATTCACACAGCAATGAATCATAATCACGAGAGTTTGAGCTTATCGCAGCTTTCTGCCAAAACCATTGCAAACAAACAGGTCTTGAAATATTTCCAGAGAGATATTACAGCCAAAGTCTAGTCATTCAGTGAGAGAATTGAACACTGAAATACAACAAACTTCATAAAGGATGCCTTGCCTGCAGTTGTTGTGCCAGAGGTTTAGGTAATTGTGTGAGAAAAAATGTGAAAATAAATCCACTCATCATTGACAACATCACTCATAGCATGTTGATTTTCATTTTCACTGTTGTTTTACATTGGCTTGACAGATGCTGTCACTCCTATTAGGAAGATCCCTCTGAATCCCAGCTTAGTATCTACAGTTCTTTGAAAAAAATAATTTCTCTAAGCTGTGTCTTGTCCCTGAGGTCAGACAGAAAATAAGAGAAAAAAGTGATGCAATGAGCATTCATATTCTGTCATACTGGATACATTTTTGTCCTTCTTATATGTTTGTCAAAATGCTTCAGTTCATACAATTTCTAAACCTACAAACGTTTTGGTGTATTGAGAAGACTAACCAACTCTTGACAGCTGTACATGAATTTTCATCAAATAGACATCGAGACCCCTGCAAAGAGTTTTCAGACTGGAGAATTAGTCCCGTTTCTGATAATGAAATATCAATAAATAACTTTTTTCGCTCCAAAGCTTGAGCAGAAACATTTGTGATTGCCTGCAGCCATATCAGATGATATGAGGTGAATGTTAATGTTTTGAATGCTTTGAAAAGCAACCCTTCCTGGGCCATTATGCAATGGCTCTCACTTGATATACTGCTCTTCCTGTATGCACAAAATACATCCTCAATGTTTCTCATGAGCTTTTTAAATATAGTGGGTATACTCCCTGAGAAATTTGTCTGTCAGAAAGCAGCTACAGTGACTTTAGATTAGCACAAATTTATGCCTGGTAGAGAGGAATGATTAGGGCATTTCTTTGCTCCAGCGGTCCCAGCAGCAATAAAAGATCCTCAGGGAGAACAAAGTAGCTTTAGGCTGCTCTCCCTGTGCAAGAGTGGCCACCACAGATTAGCCCAGGATTTGGAATATGTATAATATATATTCATGAATTTCTTCTCCATTGTGCCAAGTTCTACATATC